TTTCTAAACGAATCCCATATTACTATTTAATGACAACATGCAGCTGTAAAAAATAAAAGTGGATTGAGTATCGTGTCAGACCATTTGTAAAAATTGTTGGAAAGTTCAAAATGACTTAGTATCCCCTAAACATTGTTACTCCCTCCATATTAAGCCCTCTTCCCTTAACCCTTTACACCCTAACATCATTATGCATATTCTCTGTACTGTTCTCTTTACGTTTCCTAAGGTTTTAACAAGGAGAATCTGTTTAACAATCAAGAGCTTCTTCAGTTTTGATCATTTCATTTATTCTCATGACCTAAACGTTGGATTCAAGGGTGATATTGTGATAAGAAAATAGATGCCAGTCGCTCTTTGGAGTTAAAGGATTGGAGGAAATATTCCTAAACGGGCCCTCCACTGAGGCATCAGCAAAGTATTTGTTGCCTATAAATAAACTTTGCTGATAATGAAATAAGTAGGGAAAATAACTTTGAAATGTTATTCGAGTGATGAACCGGCGCAAAGGTTTTAAAGCGATGAAGGCCAAATTTTTTTTCCCCAACTCGATTTTAATTATAAACTGAAGCTAGTATCAAACGACTGATAAAAAGGTTTGAATTTTTGTGGGCCTTAGCGTGAGAGAAAACCCAGATAAGACACAACTTACCTACTCTTCTTTCTCGGATCCCTTGTAGTTTGCTTTCTCTTTATTGATGACCTCTTTTCAGTCTGTTTTTGGAAGAGCAACGTGGGAAAGAAATATAAGGAGCTCGCTAGATCTTCGCCTTTTTACTTACGCCTTTCTCTATTCTCTTTCGCGTTCCTCTCGTAGTATTCTACGTACTTTCTAACTCTCTTTCGCGTTTTTCTTGACTCGCTCTACGCTTTTACTTCTTGCTTTCTTCAATCGCTCTTTCTCTTTCTTTCCAGCCTATTTTCAGTTAAAACCCTTCTCCACGAGCTTGAATATAACAATTTCCTCTAGTTTACAAAGCTTTATTTCTGCCGGTATTGTTGCTTTGCAAGTTGATTTAGAATTGCTGTTCAACTATAACCTCAAAAATATGATTTCCCGCTCAAAAAGCGAGCTGCAAATTATTTGTTTGCGCGACTTTACATCTACTAGCTCACATGAAGCCCTCGTGTAAGGCCTAACCGTATGCCGGCGGCACGCTGCACTTAAGTGCGGCACTCGAGTATGCGCACTTAGCTGTCATCTGCCGCTGTTTCCTGGCACACTCTAATGAGGTATCCAGGTTACGCACGCAATCGCGCCTGCGCATTACCTGCTCCCTTACCCTTCCATTATGTAATGGCTAGCAGTTTCGTGCCGTAACTTTCTGCATTTACATAGCCAGTGATACGACAGTAAGCGCTGAAAATAACTATATGTATGGCGCTGTAAAATAGTAGCAGTAGTGAAATAAATTGGTCTCTGCTGTTTTGATCGTTATTTGGCAAAATCAAACGTTCGCTGCATATCTAAATGATTTCTCGATGCGATCTGAGTTTAGCAAGAACAGGGCAACAAGTAAGGCGATGCTCATGGAAGCCAACATGGCCTCTACCCTTAGGTTTCCCTTGCTATCCTCTCCTATTATTTTGGAAACATTATTTTTTTTAATACGAGTTAACCAAATGGTTAGATGACTTAGATTATCAATGTGCCACTACAAATAGCAACGTATGTAAATTGGCAAAAACGGGCTGGGTTGACACCTGGAAACTTTCTGTACCGAGCTCAGCCATGAAGCTCTCAGTTCGAACAAATTAAGCTAGTATTTTCAGAGAATAAACGTCTAAATACTTTCCTTGCATAAATGTTGAATAATAGACGGACCTTTCTCCAAGTTTCATCCTTCCACCTGTTCAACCGCTGTCGAATTCCCTGTCTCAGACTCCGGAAGAAGGTCATAACTTTCTCAGTTTTTCAAAAAATATTTTAATGGAAGCGCACGGAACCGCTTGCAGACTCACTGTCCAATAAACACTGGCCGAAATACACCACAGAAGGTGAAGTGGTATCCAGATCTCGCAGTTTACAGTTCGGACTCATACGATTTGCATCCTCCACGCCTGTACGCGCGATAATAAGCCACTTCAATTTGGGAAAATGTCGGATCAAGAGCAATTGCAATTGGTGAAGGAGCTTCATTCCAATAATTCAGGTGTGCCGTATTTTTGTTGTAACATTTCGAGCTATACCAGTGTTGGAAGAACTAGGGCCTACCTGGAGAGTCAACTGGGTATTTTGGATGCAGTAAGCATACATTTTAAAGCCAAAAACGTTAATTAGGTTTTATGTGGAAAAGAAACAGTGCAAGAGTTGAAGAAGCTCTACTTAAGCTTTGTGGACAAAGTTGCCACATGGGAGGAACTTGGGCATTTTTTCACATCTTGTAGCACTCAAACTAAACTGGGAAAAAGTGTGCATTTTGGGCTAAGTAAAAATTAATTGATATGTCTGCACTCATTTTTAGGAGAGGCCCCTAGTAGATTACATTGCGCTTTGGTAAGTAGTGATTTGCGGTGTTTCTCTTGATGTGGTATTCAAAGCTTTATGGATGTTTTGTGCTATACCGTTTGATTTTATGATATCTGTCACCTTTTCGGGGATCGCATGGTGCTGCTTGCAGTCTGTTTCCTCACCGAGCAGTCCACTTTTTGGGATTTAGAGGAACATGGTATGAAGCAGTTTTGATGGGTTTAAACACTCAAGTTTGCGCTTGTTGTTGCATCCCTCATGTTGAGTTGGTAGACTACCAAGGTGACGTCGTCATGGCGAGACTCTCTAATACGGGTTGAGGTGGACGTAATTCGAGACTAATGCCCAATTAAAAACACCATGTAAATATCTTCCGTGAGCACACAGACTCGGAACTGTGGTAACGGTGACGCTTCAGGCCAAAACAGTAAATAAAGGAAAGAAACAGAGCCCTGACTGTATAAAGGAAGATCTTTCGAAATTGTATATTTTTCATTAATTTATATTAAAAGTACTTTGGTTAATTAAATTCATTGTTTCACCAATTGTCCAAGTTTTTTAATCGTAATTATTGCCGCAATGTCAGTATGTGCCCACCTCCAAAAGAAAACGTAAGTGAACTGAGGTTTTCCTTTACAGTCAGTCCTGCAAAATGTTGTTTTCCTATTATGTTAAGCTCAATGGCCGCGGCAGTTAGCTCATGCAGTTCATCTCAATTGTTCAATCATTTACTGTCGTTTCACTCGGTAGCTCCTCAAGGAGTCGTTTTGCGTTTTATAGGATGAACTACAACGCGATCGGCTATTCCTCGTTGGAACTGGAACTGATCCAAGAGAGATCGATTTTTTTTTCTGCACGAAAAAAAAAGACAAAACTTTGAACAAGAGTCCTAGAGTACGACAGCAACAGCAAACGAGAAATACGCGATACTATCGAGTACAAATAAACCACGCTTGTCTTGCGCTCTGCTTCAACTCACGTATGAATTAAGAGAAAAACTCTTAAAAAAGAGTGGAGGCTCGGAGTTTTGATCGCGTTCAGCGTTGTGCCTTGCATTATCCGCCATTATGTTCACCCGCTGAATTCTACATAACCGGGTAAAAATTATCCCCTTTTTTTAGCGCGCCATCGAAACCAAAATTTTTTTATCTATCCCGGATGAGCGTCATTGATTAGAACTAATAAAACGAAGAAGTTCTGTGTTCAACCGAATATTAACTGACAAATGTCTTATAAAAGACGCGACATTCGGCAGACCACAAGGGTAGGGATAAAAATAAGTCAACGAATACATTTTTCATTTGGAGTCAACAAAACCTTGATTCATGCTCACAATTCCACATCTCACTTCACCTGGGTGGTTTTCATAGGTTTCTAAACTTTTTTCATTTTCATCTAATTTCTTACTGTGAAAAGACCAGGGCTTCTTCGTTAACATTTGCAAATCAGTATGTAGGTATGTCAAATCTCATGTGCACAATTCATCGTGGAAATCCAATTACTGAAACGTGAAGAGACCAGGACTTGCATTAAACAAATACCATGTAAAGTCATTTTTTAACGTTGGTATCTCGCGCTCTTTAAAGATTGTGTATCATTTGATTGTTGCCTTAGTATCTTGTGTAATTCTAGGATTCCCTTCCATTCACTTGTAACGTTAGTGTTTCGTGCACTTTTGCACTTCAGTTTCATTTCTACGTCAGTGTTTTGCCCACTTTCAGAATGCTCTTTGGTGGAAAATAACATTACTGTCTCTCCAAAATTTTAGCATTGTCCTAAATTGGATTACTACGTTAGTACCTCGTACACACAGGCTTCTCTTTCATCTATTGTTATGGTGGTTGTCATGGACACTTTCAAGTTTCTTTTTCTTTCGATTGCTACACTAGGATCTTGCACACCTTAGGCTTTCCTTCCAATCGATTGCAACGTTGGTATCTTGGACACTCTTGGGATTCTCTTTTTACGGATTGATGTGTTAGTGCCTCGCGCGTTTTTCGAATTCCGTTTTTTCCATTGTTACGTTAGTACCAATGGAAGGAAATCTCTTTCGTTTGATTAATACGTCAGTTACTCGCACACTTTTAGGATTGTTAGATTACTGGCTTTTGTACACATTCAGGATACTTCCTCATTCAAAAGTTACGTTTAACATAAGTATCTTATGCACTTTTAGGATTCTGTTTTTGCTGGATTATTACGTTTGCATCTTGCGCATTTTTAAGATTCTTTTTCATTGAATTATTATGTTTCTATCTTGCGTATTTATAAGATTTTCTTTAATTGGATTAATTAGGCTATTATTCGGCGCGCTTTACATAATTTTCTTAATTTTTTTTCTCAGAGGGCACGGCAACGAATTCTGCAATCTGGTAACGCTTTCGTGAGTCGCCGAGTACATTCCTACCTTCGCCGCCATTTTCCATAGATGTATCTCGTTTTTCCGGCTAGGCGATATTTTTAAGCAAAGAGGTCGGCTACTAACTCAAGCCGATAAATAACTCATTAATCATCTCTTTTCTCTCTCTCG